TGGTAATGAAATACCTCAAATTAAGACACTCCATCATGCTATGGTTTTGAGATTACCTTTGCTCTTATCTGGTTTCTAGTATAGGTGAATTTTGTCGAGCCAAAACTCGACCAAACCCCTAAGACATCAGATTTATCAGACCAACCGGCTTTGCTAGTTAAATCCTTCAGCATTCCCTGAAAAAAATGTTTTTTTTAGAGTTAGAAAATTCAGATTAGTTTTTGAAATAAAAACAACAAATGCGGGTTGTCAAGACATTATTAATAATTATGGCATTATATACCTTGTAAAATTTGTATGAAGCAGTTTTCTTTGACCAATTCTAGGAAGTTATTTATAACTTTAAAAGCAATCAAATTTTAAAATAAACAAGGTCAAAACTTTAGCCTCCAAAATTGAAATAGGAGTAGTAAGGGGGACAGAGAACAGTCAGTCTACAGTCAGGATGACGTCATGGGTTTTCCCCATAAAGGTCATGAGGTCAGGGGGGGGGAGTCTACAGTCAGGGGGTAGCCTACAGTCAGGGGTAGTCTACAGTCAAGGGGGACTCTACAGTCAAGGGGGGAGTCTACAGTCAGGGGGTAGTCTACAGTCAGAGGTGAGTCTACAGTCAATAACGTTCTGGGATTTCCCACCATTTTGGGACGGTCACTGTTTATTAATTTTAAGATTATAGAAACAGCTGTATCCACAGCAACAACATAAGGATGTTACTAAATTTAGAATAATCGAAACACACCCAGTAACATTCTGAGGTTTGTATCCACATTCAACAATGCGACAGATAGTTGATTTGCATAGCAACAGTCCAATATCATACCTAAGAATAATAAATTTAGAAAAAATACAGAGCCCTTGGGGACAGGGTTGCAACCACAGTAACAAGATTAAGGAATTACTAAATTTAGAATTACAGGCAGATACCCAGCAACATTCTAAAGTTAAGACTAAATTTACGATTTTTAGTCCGTCTTGGGTGGTGTAGGAAATTAACTATACCTAGAAACAAGGCAAGATGAAAACTTATTTTAAGATCCTAAATACATCTGTAACCACAGCAACAGTGTAAAGTATTGCTAAATTTAGAATTAACAAAATATTGTATCCAGGCATGGTTTAAAAACGCGGTTTTTTCGTAGGACCACTCCTTTAATATGAAGGCAAAATTCAGTATAAAAAGTGCAAAATTCGAAGCATTTCTTCACTTCACTTTTTTTTGCATCAGAGGAAGAACCATTCATCAACTCTATACAGTAAGTAAACTGTCATTATCCTTTAACAAAGTTTTAAGATTCTCAATCTTTTCGTTATCAGGAGATCCAAAGACAACAGAGATAGTACAAATCATAAGTTTTTATTAACATTTTCTGTTACAAAGTATTGCATGGTATAGTGTTAACAAAGTTTTACAAGTACATATAAAATGGATTTAACCATTTGTCAATTTTAAAAGCACAATGTCCCTCAATGTCTTGGCAGCACTCATGAAAGAAGATATAAGTTAATACATTTTCAAGCAGACAAACATACACTAATCAAACTGAACATAAAAATGATCTACAACAAATTAAAAAAAGTTGTTACACTAACTTTACTTTTTAAAACAGTTAAGTCAGTTATTATTTTGATCTGTTCACAATCATCGTGAGCTCAGGGTGGTATTGTTGGATTCTGTACATTTCACACGGATACACACAGGCTTTCACTAAATGATGTACCACAAATCAAACAACTAGAGCGTTGTAAACTTGACCCTTTTAGCCGAGGTACAGCTATCTACTTTAGACAACTTATCTTCTATAAAGTTTAAGATAATTTTAATTTGCTCGCAATCCAAGGTCACTCTGGCCAGGACTGTTTTTAAGACTTCGACTTGTTCTAAGACATCTTGCTTGCCCCGTTCCTTCATCCTCTTCTCCAATTTACACATCTTGTCCAGATTTGTTCGCCTGTTAATGAAACAGAATCAACCTTAGTTACAGAGTGTCAGATTCCACATTCAATTAATTTATATCCCACATTTGGTGATTATTGGTTTGCGAGTTTTAAGAATCCATATTTAAACATTCATCACCTCAAAGTAGTCAGGATGGAGTCTTCCACCTGACTAAATCGACCCTTATCATTATCCGAGTTACTGGTAACTGGCGCAAAGGCACTGCAGTTTGAATCGAGTGCCGGCGAGTAGCTGGCAACTGGTGCAAAGGTGCCGCAGTTACCCTGGCTCTCTGGTGTAGGACTTAGGGGTCTAAAGAGATCGAGAGAGAGAGGGTGAAAGACACTTACTAACTTTTTATTATGTTCAAACTAAATTATCGAAATTATTTAAACCTGCTTTTTCTGAAGTTCAAAAGATTTAATTTAACTTCATAAAAATCAGTTAGCTAATAGTTTAGAAATTAAACAATATGAAAATGTAATGACTAAAGAATTTTTTTTAAAAAAGTTATTAAATATACATATAACACATTCTGGTACATTACGTTACACAAGAATCCAATCTTTACCTTTTTAATGACTCATTTTCTTTGCCAATTGTACTTAATGTCGAATGGTAATTTGGAGAGGGAGGGGGTGGAATATAACTTCAATAAAAGAGTGAGAGAAAATGTGAAAATAAAATACATACAGCACTTACGGTTTTTTCTTTCATATTTTTAATTTTATTTTATAATTATTTTTATTATTATCATGTTTTTAATTTTGAGAAAAGATATCATCGAACTAGGTTTAAAAATTTGGAAAAAAAAAATAAAAACTCAAAAAGTGATTAAATCAGATTAATTTTCGTTTCACAAAATTACACTTACTGAGATGGAAACGCAGACCGTTCCAATTCCTCCCCCATTTTAACCCATAACTCCTCAAAATTACTAAAGGATCTGCGGATTTGCTTGCGTCTCTGTGATAAGAAATACACAGTCCCGTACTAAGGGTAATCATGTGTTATATAAATACAAATTATAGATATTGTATTTTATATAATCTTATTTATCAACTTTAAACAGAATAAAAGAAAAAAAGACGAACTAGAACTGTGTTCACCAACAATAAAGTTAACATATCTTTATAAGAAAATATAAAATTCGAATTAAAAATAATGTTTAAAAAAATTGAAAAACTTATAAAACTTAACAGTCATAAACCTAAAAGAAAAGCTTCTTAACTTTGCACCTAAAAATAATTTAGCTAATTCTTAAAACAAAAGGAATATTTTACTTACAGGAAATCAAGGAATTCTTCTGCCATAATTGTCACTGATATTCTGTCAATGATAAAATCTGTTTGCAACCCCCCCCCCCCATTTATATATTCTCTTGGACGGACGTTTTGCTCGTACGAAAAAGGGCGTGTGTGTTGGGGTATCATCACTCTAATTGATGGATTGAGTAATGATTGAGAAGTTTCCGTATTATTCTTTATTCATCATCTGAACGTCTTTTGAATCGCTTTTGAAAATACCGCCCGGTTGTTCTACACCTGCGCAAAGGTAATACATCATGACCTGACCTGAACTATTTCCTGGACTTTATAGGTCAGGATGTATGTACTTAACGTGTGCTCATTCATTAAATACAGCTTTTATACAACTGTTCCAACAACTCATTTACTGAGGTCAGGTGAACCGATTTATTCACATAAAAAAAATATATGTATTATACATATAGTTATATTTAACAAAAAATTATATATACCTATCGATATTAAGTGACAATGAAATTACTTGCAAGTAGTTTGTTTTAAACAAACAAACAAAAAATTTTACAATTTTTTTTTTCTATTTTACTGATAAACCTACAAGAAAGCTTCCAACACTGCAGCGCATTTTTATTTAAGATTTTAGTCGATATCTAAAAAATTGACCTTTGATAAATGCAAGAAACGTGACTTATTCGTGACGGTGTATGTAAACACATACAAAGGAAAATATCAAATTAAGGCTTATAACTAAATATAGTAATTGTAATTGTGTAAATTTTGTTCATTTATCCACAGGGTCCTAGTACTTAAAAAATATTATAGTCACTGTCTCTTATGTTACATATTCTAAATGTGTGAGATTGTCTCACACACAAATGTCCTAATTTAATTTTGAAACTCTTTCAACACTTTTATTCCTCCCTTACATTGCTATTATATTAAATTAATTATCCCTACATACAAGAACTATTGTTTTTAGTTCCCTCAGTATCTGTCTCCCTTATTTTGGTTTGCAATCAGTTAATGCTTATAAGGGTGTGATTAGATTCATCACGAAATCAGGGGGGGCCTAAAGGTCACATGATGATGATGACGTTGAAAAGTCCGTGCAGAATTCGCGCCGTTACAACAGAGCTAAGATGGAGGGACGCAAGGCTACACCAGCTACGCTGATAGGCATAATTGTTATAATGCTAACACTGGACTTGTATACATTTGCTGAAGCTACGAGATGTCCGAGATGTCCAAACAATCATGGATTGGTAAATTGCGCACTCTACCACAGCAATTGTGTTAGCATTGCCGTCAATGTCCAGATACGCGAAATTCGCGTTGCCAAGTGTGCCGTCACCATCGTCGTCAACGGAAAGCCGCCGTCCCACTTTGAATTTCCAATAGTGCGGAGCATTCATGGAATCCAATGTCATGATATATTCGGTAAGTAATACATATACATTGCGGAAATTCAAAGTGTGTGGATTATGGGGAGGGGAGCTTTCAAATTAAATTGTTTTGACCACTTAATTTATCATTTATGAACTATAAGTCGTTGCTTGTCTTAATATGGAATGGTGTGGTATTTTTGGTGATTTTCTATAGGAGGGGGGGGGGGGGGGGCTTATAGACTTGGAAAGTATCGTGAGAAAAATGAGAACACGTGATAATTTCATCAGCCAATCAAATCGTTGTATCTTTACTATGGAATGTTTATGTTGTATCGGTTCACCAATTTCAATCCAGATGTGTTCCGAAAGACAAAGTTCATGTGTTACGGACTTTTTTTTATTTTGGTCATCGAAAACTAATAATGTTCGTTTCAATTGTAAATGTTTTGTACTCGCAAGTTGCATGATGTAAAATGGAACAGCCGAAAATGAATCTAACCACAAATATCTGAGTTTGAGTCAGCACTGATCATGAAAAGAAAGAAAAGGGAAAAAACTGTATATGTAAATAAATTGGTATTTTTGAAAGAAACCGACAATCATGAGTTCGGGTTCGGGTTCGACATACTTCTAAGGAACTTTGAAACGTTCCCTTACCATACATAGTATTTTACCGGAAGTAATTCATAAACATGGATCATGCCATACAGTGGCCCAATAAGGTATGAAATGAACTTTACACAGGGTAAGGAATCCAAACTAAAATAGATTCTGGCAAAAGTGAGCATGTATTACAGAAATTTTATAAATCAAGATGTTATTGTTCGTCCTAGCTGTCTGTATATATGTTATATGTAATGTACCGAAGCTAAACAGGAAGGAAGTAATAAAAAAAAAACAACAACAAGATTTTACAATAAAAAAAGAAAGAAAAAAAACATTGATAATCTTGATTGCAGAAAATTTAAATTTGTAAATATGACTGGAAAAATAATACTGTGATAAAATAATACCAGTGATAAAAATAACATGTAATAAACTTTGATCACTTCAAGTCCCGAGACTAAGCGAACCACTTGTTAACTTACTCCCTCTCATATAAATGCATTTTTGTTAAAAAAAAATACTTAAAGTAATACACTTAGGTCAGTTAGCAATAGTTTACTGATGTACATGTAAACATTCTACTCTGATTGAAATTAATTTTGCAACATGAAATGTTGGTATTACAATTCATATATATATATATATATATATATATATATATATATATATATATATATATATATATATATATATATATTACAGCACCGAAGTTGCAGACAACTCAGCCAGAACCTGACCATGTGACATCTAGCCCTACAAACCATACGATAACCTCAATGGTTCAGCCAGAACCTGCCCATGTGACAGCTAGACCAACAACCCAAACGATGACCTCAACGGTTCAGCCAGAACCTGCCCATGTGACAGCTAGGCCAACAACCCAAACGATGACCTCAACAGTTCAGCCAGAACCTGCCCATGTGACAGCTAGGCCAACAACCCAAACGATAACCTCAACGGTTCAGCCAGAACCTGCCCATGTGACAGCTTGGTCTACAACCCATACGATAACCTCAATGGTTCAGCCAGAACCTGCCCATGTGACAGCTAGATCTACCCTCCTTAAGATGCTAAAGACAGTTAAGGCACCAACAAAAGGTTAGTCAACAGTTGTCATGTAAAAAAAAAAAAGAACAAAACAAAACCTTTTTGATAAAAATATCGAATTTGACAACTTAACATAGCAATGACATAATGTTGCATGTTATTGTACATGACCAAAATGGATTTTTTTTTATTGTAGCCTTGAACGTTCCAGATACAGACGATGATCTGTTTGACGAAGCGGGTACTACAGGTCAGCATGTAACCCTCCTCTTGTCTATAAATAGTTCATTGTATTTTTTTTATAATATGTGTGTTTATTTCCATCAATGATAAATTGAAAAAAGATTAGGTGTAGAGCACAAAGAAATGATAAACCATCTTCAGGGAAATCCATTAGAAAAAGAACACTATTTAGAAGGCATGCACTGTTTAAATCAAAACGGGATAAATTACCCTCAAGATCAGAAATAGAATTAAACCGAATACATGCTTTATCTTCGGATGATGATTATGATTCTATATTTGATGCGTCAGATATATAAATACAAGTTGGTTTGTGAAGATGTTTTATTTTTATATTTATAGGCTTTTTTGCATGGGCAGTACTTACTACTATAGCTCTGATACTCCTCATCGTCAAGAAACTTGTGTTACAGAGATGTGACTTGAAATGTTGCACACAACCTTTACCATCCCCACCACAACCACAAACAATAGAACCTTTTGAGGATAGAATACCTATGAATCCTATTATGCACACCCCTCCATCGCAAGCCTCAACTCCTGACACCCCAAGCACAGTAATGTCAACTCCTGACACCCCAAGCACAGTAATGTCAACTCCTAACACACCAAGCACAGTAACCTCAAGTGCCCCTTTGGTTTCTCAACATGAGCCAGTATCGGCTAATACAAGGTCAAAGAAGAAATTGTTCTAGACTAAAATGATATACGAGTCTTGTGAACGGAATATGTGCATACATTCTCAAAAGAATACAGGTATATTCTTTTTACATTTGTGATGTTTTACTACATGATGGTAATTGAGCATATAAATTTAGCTGTGTTGTCAGAAAAGATGATGTACATTTTTTTTTACTTGATTGTTTTATTTTGAGAAAATGTATTGTTATCATACATATGACAACAAGTAAGTGTTTATGTTTGTGTATTACTTTTGATAATGAGACATACAGAGTTATTTTGACAAGAAAAAAATTTATGTGAAAAATAATTCTTGAGAAAAACAGCTATTAAGCTGTCCCCCCTTTTTTTTACTTGATTGTTTTATAAAGCTGTCCCCCCCTTTTTTTTTTACTTTGTTTTAAATGAGATTTACTAGGTGATGGTTAATTACCTGGGTTGTCAGATGATGTACATCTTTTTTAATTGATTGTTTTATTGAGATGACGTATTGTTATCATACATATGACAACAATGAGTGTTAGTGGGATATTTTTACACAAGTAAGTGTTTATGTTTGTGTATTACTTTTGATAGACATACAGAGTTATTTTGACAAGAAAAAAAAATCTATGTGAAAAATAATTCTTGAGAAAAACAGCTATTAAAGGTGCTTGGACACAGATTTGAAGTTAATATTTACTCAAATTTTCTGTATAATTTCATGACTTATATGTTGCTATAGCATTTCATACGAAAATTTGATAAAAATCTTATTTTATCTGTAAGTTATTGAAACTTTGAATTTCTGGACGCGTTTGATAGACACATCCTTGCACTTTCACAAATTTTAAGTTTATCCTTAATACTTGAGAAAAGTAGCAATTTTGTTGTTTTAATTAATGAAAAATATTAAAACTATAATGCAGAAATTTCAGAGTAGAAATGTAGAAAGCACAATCCTCTCACGAGTATTGTCAGTCCGTGCTCAGTGGTGTGTGCAGAGTTTAACAATTGAACACACCCGGTGAATCGGAAACATTAACAACAACAGAGCGCGTGCCCTGTTTACAAAAACAGTTTACGTTTCACGGGTGTATTCAATTTGTTAAACTCTGTACACAACTACACAACACTGAGCACGGGCTGATAATACTTTAGTGAGTAAGTTTTGCTTTCGCACCTTTTTACTCTGAATTTTCTGGATTATAGATATAATATTTTTCATTAATACACAATAAAATTGCTACTTTTCTTAAGTATTAAGGATAAAGTTAAAAATTGTGAAAGTGCAAGGATGTGTTAATCAAACGCCTCCCGAAGTTCGTAGTTTCAATAATTTCCAGATTAAATAAGTTTTTAATTTTATTTTCGTGTGAAATGCTATAGCAACATATAAGTTGTGATATTATACAGAAAATTTGAGAGAATATAAACGTCAAATCTGTGTCTATGCACCTTTAAGCTATCCTCCCCTTTTTTTTTTACTTGATTGTTTTGTAAAGCTGTCCCCCTTTTTTTTTTTTTACTTTGTTTTAAATGAGAGTTTTACTTGCTTGATTTGTTTTCATTTGTGATGTTTTACTATGTGATGGGTAATTAATTGGGTTGTCAGATGATGTACATCTTTTTTAATTGATTGTTTTATTTTGAGATGATGTATTATTATCATACATATGACAACAATGCCTATTAGTGGGATGTTATTTACACAAGTTAGTGTTTATATATGTATATTACTTTTATAGTTTTGAATTTCATTAAAGTTTTTGAGTTGAACAGACTTTGTTTTTTCTTTTGTATGATTGATTGTATACTGTTTAACATCCCTCTCCAGAATATTTCACTGATATGGAGACGTCACCATTGTCGGTGAAGGGCTGCAAATTTAGGCCTATGCTCGGCACTTGTGGCCTTTGAGCAGGGAGGGATCTTTATCGTGCCACACCTGCTGTGACATGGGGCCTCGATTTATACAATCTCATCCGAAGGACCGCCCCATTTAGTCGCCTTTTACGACAAGCAAGGGGGTACTGAGGACCTATTCTAACCCGGATCCCCACGGGGCTCTTTTGTATGAGTTGTGGTATAAAGAAAATTTTATGTTATTAAATTTGGATTATAATTTTGAAATATATTTAAATAAATTTGTAAATATTCTGAATTTACTTTAGAACATGGCAGACGACAGTTTATTAAAAGAAATTTTGGACTCTTTGGAGGATCCGGACACCGTGCAGTTATTTGCAGCAGCCAATGGTTTAGTCGGTGATGTCGAGGTCGAGAACCGATTAAGGGAACTCCAATGGGAAAAGCACATCGACGATTTATGGCAGGAGGTTCTGTCTGATATGGAGTCTCCTCCTAAAAAAAAGTGTCATTCTCTCAATGATGGCAATCAACCTTCTACAAGTAAGGAGATGGGGGGCGGTGGGGAAAGTTCCGATTCTAAGGACACATTAGCAAAACCTTACTATATCTGGAAGAGAGATACCAGGACCTTCAAGAAAAATCTGGCCCGCGACACCACGTTCAAGGTCAAATTCAACGAACAGTGGAGGGGGGATAAATTAATAGATATCCAAAACAAATTACACGAGATGTTCGACGACCTGTTGTCGCAGGCCAGGGGTCACGATGCGGATTTGGGAAGGGTGGTCCTAAGTCATCCGAGTTTAAACAATCCTATCGTCGTGCCGCTGCAGTCCTGGGAAATATTGAATGCAGATGTCGTCATGTCGGAGATCACCAAGGTACTCAATTCAAACGAAAGCTTACCCGTAGACGAAAACCTGCTAGTCACCATCGGGTCCATTGACTTACCTAAAGGGGGAGGTAACCCTAGAAAATTACCCATTACAACTCTTTTCGGTCCTAAAAACAGTATAGAAAGGAAAAAATCACTTTTTCATGTTCAAAATAATGACAATTTATGTATGGCCATTTCCATCGGTCTGTGTTTTCTAAAAACGTGTAAGAAAGTAGATACGGAAACATGGAACAATTTAGTGGGGAATGATCCTGGAACGATGCTAGATCACGCCCTCAAACACCGCACTGTTTCTCAAACATATTATGACAATATCTTGAAAACGTCGAGACAAAAAATGCAAACGGAGCTGGCCATGGGACTGTGTGAAAAAAGCCGGTGTGCCCAATGACAGGTATTTAGGTCTGAATGATATCGAACCTTTCGAAAATTTAATTGATGTCTCGATCAACGTCGTGTCCTCTGCAGTAGGAAACAAATTTGTCAGGGTCACAGAGGATCAGGGTAAGCCTCGTCTCTATTTGTATCACGTGGATTCGGAAAAGGAAAAACACTGGCACGGGATTGCTAGGATACAAGGATTTTTTAAGGCGTCGTATTTTTGCCATAGTTGTTTAAAACCGTATAAAAATAAATCCAAACACTCTTGTGCCACCTCATGTGAAGTATGTTTACATGACAACTGCCCAGAAACAGACGTCCAAATGGGTTGTCGTTCCTGTGGTCGGATCTGTCGGTCTTGGACGTGTTTTAAGAGACATAAACAACAAAGAGTTGTCAAGAAAGAAAGTTATCCCCCCGCCTGTGACGTGTTTTACCAATGCAAAAATTGTAGAGTCACTCTGGAACGTGCTAAGCGCTCTCCCGATTTACATATTTGTCAAGAGTGGCAGTGCCCCAACTGTCGAGAATATCAAACGGGGGAACACAATTGTTATCAGAAATCGCATACGTCTGATATAGAAAAGAGAAACAAGAAATTTATGTTCTACGATTTTGAGACGCGTCAAGATGACATTTTTCATCGCGACAAAGGATACAGACCGTCTTGCATCAGATGTCGCCATTGTGTTAAGGAGGAACGCCAGTGCCCTAACTGCAGACTCTGTCAGAACTGTCGTGATCCGTCCTGCGGTCTACAACAACACAAAGTCAACTTTGCCGTACTACAAACCACTTGTCACAAATGCGAAAAAGAGGAACTAGTGGACGGTGCTACCTGTCATCATTGTGGAACACGATGTGGAAAATGTTCCCGGACCCGAAAAGGAGAATATTTGTATTCCCCTTGTACCGACACTTGTGGGAAAAGGGAACTCGTGTTTTCTGGTGACAGCGCCGCCGAGCAGTTTTGTGCTTACGTCACCAGTAAACACTGCAGAGACTCAATTTTAGTTGCACACAATGCCAAAAGTTTTGACTTGTACCCCGTTTTAGAAGTTCTCATCGACCGACACTCCATTCGACCTAGCAAGATCATATACAATGGTTCCAAAATCATGTACATGCACATTGCCCAAAAACTGAATTTAACTTTTGTGGATTCCCTCAATTTCCTTCCCATGAAACTAGCTAAAATACCAGAAGCTTTTGGTCTACAGGAACTCTGCAAAGGTTACTTTCCCCATTTTTTTAACACCAAAGCCCATCAAAATTATGTGGGGCCATATCCAGAATTAAAATATTATGGATACGATGCCATGTCGACTGGGGAGCGGAAAAAGCTTGCAGAATGGCACGCAACGAAACAGAACGAAAGCTTTAATTTTCGAGAAGAAATGTTGCAATATTGTCGCTCGGACGTTGATATACTGAGACGGGGCTGTCTGGAATTTAGAAAATTAATGATTAAGGTGACGACCATCAAAGAACACATTACACAAGCAGACGGAACCGTCAAGAAAAGAACCACGTTTGGAATCGACCCATTTGATTACGTCACCATTGCAAGCGTGTGCATGGGGATATTCAAATCTCTATTTTTGAAAGGAAAGTACAAGATAGAAATCACCAAAGACGGGGAATGTTCTTGGTATGATGTCCATACGCTTGAGGGTATAGAAGTGGTCAAAATCGATGATTCGTGGACGTCATTAGTTGACTTAAGAAAGGACGAAAATATACAGATAGGAAGACGACATTTCAAGAGTTCCATAGCAGTAGTGCCCTCTCAAGGTTATACGAAACGCGACAATTACAGCAAGATTTCCATTCAGTGGTTAGAATGGTTGATGGAAAAAAGCCGTCAACGGGGAAATCCCATTAGCATTTCTCACGCTCTCAACGGAGGTGAATATCAAGTCCAAGGCACCAATTATAGATGTGACGGATTTGTTCAGACTCCCAACGGAAAAGGAACCATTTACGAATTTTATGGTAAGACCTGGCAATATAGTTCTGTTTTTATATCTAACATTTACCCCCTTCCCCCCCCCCCCCTAAACTGGAAAGGGGGGGGGGGGCGGCGGCGGCGGCGGCGTACCTGGACTTAACCACGAATACATTAATGTTATTAAATTTGTTTTTTTTTTGTATCTCTAAACTAGGTTGTGTGTTCCACGGTTGTCCCTCCTGTTTCCCAGAAGACCG